TGCGTTCATGCTTTGCCTTGCCAGAACTAACCCTGGTATTTTCTACCTTACTATTTGAAAGATGCACTTACTGAGATCAACACTGGGCCACCTGCAGCGAACACTGCAAAAACAAAAGTCAGCCTGCCTTTTCTGCACGAATCCTATCAAGCTTACATGATCTTGTCACTGAAGCAGAAAACATGGTTCTTTGCATGGAAGAAATGAAAGCTGACCAATGTAATGACGAGTCCAGAAAGGAGATAAAGTCTGGAGTGTTAGAAGCAGTTTGCAATATAGGGAGGTGGAGCAGGAAAGAGATTAATGTTTTTAATGGAAGAAATGCCATCCTTAGAATAAATTGTTCAGTGAAGCACATCGCTGATTCAATCTGTTCTGCTGTCAGAAGCTTCACTGACAGTCTATCGAGCACTACACAAATGATACGTGCATTCCTGAGGCCTTATTTTATGAGACAGATGAAATCAGTTGAGCAATGAAATATGGGTACTGAGCTGTACTATGTTTTCTCTGGTGAAGTTGAGAACCACACCACGAGGCTTTTACCAGAGTTAGCTGAGAGTGGTATTTCTGCCTTAAGGATGACCCTAAGGTCTAACAGGTTCCTTTCTAAACAAGGATGAAAAGCCAAAATACCCATTTTGCATGCAATGAAGCTTTACATAGCCTAGAGAAGGGATGTGGAGGGAGGAGGGAAAGCTGTTCTTTGCTTTTGAGCACTTACAGGCTATTGCAGAAAAGAAAGCAATAGTTCCCTCTTCTTGTCTGTGCAGAATAAAACAAGTAACTAGGAGCTTAATTTTAATTAGGCTAAGACCTCAGGAGCCTCTTTTAAGGTAAGAAGAGGAAATAATAATTTGAAAGTTTGTGGAGCCTCCATCACAGGAGGGTTGTAAGAACAGCTTAAGCAAATGACAGTCAGGGATGGCTGAAGTACAGGTGATTCTTGAAACAGGCGGAGAGGCACCTCAAGAGGGGATTTAGCGCAGCTTTACTTCCTTTTATTTCAGCCTCGCTGAACATTTTGTTCTTGATTACATTTCATTTTAAAGCTCAGAAGGGTCGGAGAGGGGTGGGAGGTGTTGCTTTATGTATATGTAAATACTGTAACATTTACCATATCACCACTAATTTATCAGATTTACCATATAAATTGTGGTAATTAGTTTAGATATATGGAATTATAGAAAAATACATTTATTGATTGCCTGAGAAAAATCTAATTATGTCTTAGGAAATGTTCAGATGCTGATCTTCGAAGGTGACAGATCTTTGTTAATATGAAACATCCACAAATTTCAATCTAATTTTCCACAGTAAGATTAGGCCTAGCTTCACAAAAGTTAATATAGTTATCAGGAATCCAACTTGAAACATGTTTGGAAAATAAAGTCTCCAAGTACTGTGCCACCCATAGGCTATAACTGAAAGTTAGACACAGACCTACAGAGCTGTAAGAGTGAATCGAGTCATCCACTCTGTCACCTTAGTGGTGGAAATATAAATCTACAATGCAGCTGGAAAAGCAACTTCCTAAGGGAATGAGATGATGTCATAGGTTTGCAAGCTCTGTTTCAAGGACTGCGTCTGCTTTATGCCTTCAGCTTTTGAACAGAATGTGTCTGAGAGAGCAGCATCTAAGATGCATATTTGAATCCCCTGGGCTAAGGCAGTTTTCCAGGAGTGACATAGTTTTTCCCAGTTTCTGATAAACACTGTAAGACAAATACTGTAAGACTAATTTATTTTTTTTTTCAGTTAATATACCTTAGTGTTGCTAATACCTTTCTCTAGGAGCCTGTTACCTGTTTGATGGATGAGAGCTTTAGTGTTAAATGTAAGCTCTGTTTTAAAAGAGGAAGGGGTGAAACTGTATTGCTCTGGTAGGGAGTGGAGAGAGGAGAAATCCTTTGCTCTCTCGACTGAGGGAGGGCTTTGGAGCTGCTGAGCGGCACTGCAGCACTGCATTGCCTCTCCGCTGGGCAAATAAGATCTTGCAAGGCATCTTTCAAAAGAAGCTGGCTTAAAGCCAACGCTTGATCAAAGGAACCTGTCTTCTGGTATTTTTAAGTGATTTATGTCTCAGTCAAGGGGAGTACAAGTAAGCATTTTCAGTCGAGATGGCTGGTCACAAAACTTGGCTGGAGATTAAGAAATGGTACTTTTCCTTATGCTAGAAGGCTTCTGCTCTACCCAGTTGCCTTGAATCTGGTTTGCTGAAGTAAAGTCGGACATTGAGGCAGAGGAGCCTTCAAGCTACTTGTTGCAAACTCTCTTCAATTCACTTTTTTCAAGAGCAGGGAGCTGGTGCTGCAGTATATATTACAAGAGCTCCCGCACCATAAGACACAGTGTAGTACTTCATAGACTTTGAGATTGGTAGATGGTGTTGGGTAAAGGACAGCTCTGTGTCCACTGCAGGCTTTGCAGTGTGGAAGCTCTAAATTCATTCCTCAGATCAGAAACATGCTGTTAGTACCATGTCCATCTGCCTTTTGGGAATTGTTCTTTCATACTTAAAACTAGAATTCTTGCTCAGACACCCCTTGATTTTGTGTGCAACAGACTGAACTAAACTGCACCTTTTCACTGAGTTAATATATTAAGAAATCCTAGGCTGTCTCTGGTGTGCAACTGGTGCTGGCTAGACTGCTCTTGCTCTATGCTGGTCTAAATTGCCACCTAGGAGAATCAAGGGTATAGCAAAACCCTCTGCTCCCCAGGAACTAGGACCCTTGGAAAACCAGACACACCATTTTCACCATTCTGAGTAACTGCAAGGGTAGGTTCATGCTGCAGCATCAGAGGTGAACGGCTGCCTCAAAGACAGACATGTTATTTTGCAGGGAGTTGTTTGGTAATGATGGCAGCTCAGCTGGGTTCCTGGGTGCAAGAGGAGAAAACCCAACCTCCCAGTGCCCCAAACAGCAGTACAGCTGCAGAAGGCAGCACAACGAGCCAAGTACCAGGTGAAAGTAAGCCAGAAGACATTAAGTGTTGCTGTCCAGATGCACCCATGCAAGCAGCAACATACGCTATAGCTCAGCAGGTAAGTCTGGCCATCGGATTGAGAGATTCCTGCCAGACAGACTCACCCATGGCACAGCAAGATCCCTGACAGAATCTGTCAAACCAAAATATTCCAGTTAAATTTGCTGAGATACAGGGTTTGGTTTTTGTTTTTCTTTACACGACAATTCATGAGGCAAATACCTCTGAGGATCTCTCATTTCACCTTCAGGGTAATGCCAACCGCTGACCTGAGATACCATCCCATAGCCAGCTTTAGCAACAAACTGGTCATACCTTATATCACAACTGAAGCTGTTTAAAGAAATTGAGAAAATAGATTGAGCTGACACAGTAAGAAACACATGTATCAAAATACAATTTATTCTTAAAATGGCTAGTTTACACATAACAGCAAGGGTTACACAGGGAAAAAGTGCAATTAGTGGAGGAGGCTTATTTCACCTTAGTATTTATTGTCGCACTGCATTGCAAGCTTCAGACTCAAGATATTATGCTTCTTAGCAATGGGCAAAAATGTGATTTCTATTTTCATGTTAACACCATTTCTGTACAGCTAAAAGGTATGTCAGTATGCACACCTGCTGAGCATGTATTGGACAATTTCTCACAAGTCTTGCATGAAATACAGATCACCTTTACAGTCTGACAGCTCAGAAAGCTAAATTGTAAGCATAAAGATATAAAATATACATTAGTTTACTGAACTCTAAAAAAAAATCTTCAAAAAATGAGGTACAATAAGAGAGAGCAGTTTTTCTATTTATGTGCAAGCCTATATTCAGTCTAGAAAAAACTAGTAGCAACCCTGCTCTTTTAAAGAAACTAGCTTTCACAAAGTGCAGCTAATTCACTCTCTTCAATATGAAGGACCTTGCTATGTTACACACTTGTGAACAGTCATTGCTAACTTTGCAATAGGGAGCAGGATACTCAACCATCAGATGTTCTAAGATTAAATCAGGTCATGAGTCAAATCATCTAATGCTGCTACAGAATAGGAAGTTTACTTGGTCTGTTTTGTCACCTAACCTTATTTTTGGCATGTAGGGTGGTGGGTTGTTTTTTGTTTTTTGTTTTTTTTTAAAAAGGCACATTTTTCTTTTAACATTAGAAGGTAGTAACCATCTGCCTGCTAAGTGAGTAGGATGATGAAGTCAAGGTTAAATTTGTTGTCAAATGTAAGACACTTCTCATTCACAAAGACAACAAGGACAGAGATGTCTTCCCAAAGCAGTGGTCACTTCTACCACTCTGCATCGTTTTCTGTATTCTCCTTTTTATCCCGTAGAACTTTTTCTGCAATTTAGAAGACCAGCTTTGGAAAGAAGAAATTAGAACACTGTACGTCTCCAAGTTACACAGCACGTCCTACCTCTTCCCCTTCTCCCACTTTTCCATTCTCCTCTCCTCAACCTGTATTGAAGCCACACATCTTAGCTATGCATTCCTACCTGCCTCTGCTACAAGCAGATAGAGGGTCATAGCAAGCCTCCATCCTGACAGCATCATCTCACCTCTACTGCACTCCTAATATGTGCAAAATGAACTGTGATATGATGACGTTCATGTAACATCCCTGTACATGCACACATACTCTCACACATGCAATTACTACAGCTTGCTACGATACCATCGCTTTCCACACTTCCTTGCAAGAGTCCTTCTCCTAGTGACTCAGGAGAGCCTACAGCAGAAAGCAAGCAGTGTATACTTAAGGTACTTAAGGGCATGCTATTTCTATGGTAGGTGGCATATGTATATGTTTTATCTTGATTTTCTTTCTTTCCGAGGATAAGTTTTGGCTAAGAACTTCAGTAGCATAATATGGTTTAACAAGTCCCACAGACTAGTGAATTTGGATTTGTTCAGCCAGCCAACAACACCTGCCAGGTGGTTTTGTCACATAGTATGTGAACCAGAAAACAAACATTGTTCCAAATGGAAGAACGCTTCCTCACCAGTACTGATCACCAATATGGTGATGAATTTTCAATCCGACCCAAGCTCTGCCACTGAGGAAAGAGACCACTGGACAACCTCGGACTGCCTAGTTGATCAGGGTCTCTCTCTTGTCCTCTCCTTGGAGTCTGGAGATCTACACAGTCTTTCTTGGCAGATGGTATCTGAACACCATCAGGCTTCCACTCTGCATGGAGAATCTTGTAATTCTGACCCTCATTATTGTCCCAGAAGGTATGTTCTCCACTTTGGTAAGAAATGCAAAACTCTATCTTCTCTTCTGAGGAAATGGCAGGAGGAAAGTCAATGGTAAATGAGAAGGTATCATTTTCAGAATCACTGTAAACATTGTTCATGTATACACACTCAATGTTCGTGTAGGTCTTCCATGTATCAAAGGTAATTCGAACCTGAACCTTCTTTTCAAACCTCACGTTTTTTACTTTCACAGTGCCCGACAGCACCTTTTCTTGCAGGGTGCAGTTCTCCAGGCAGACCAAGTTCTTCTGCAGGCGGTTCCTGAAGTCCAGGTAGTCAGCAGCAGGCCGAGGGAAACCCAGAATCAAGTTTTTCTCCTCATGCAGCTTTAAGTCAGATGTTATATCTTCAAGGCCTAACAGGTCAAACTGAAGATCCCACCCAGGGTGCTCCTGGAACTCAGAGAAGGTGTGTATTGCTGTCAAGGACAGCCCCTTCGAGTCTGCAAACACAACTCGCTTCTTGGCTCGGGCTGCCGAGTGGTTCCAGTCGCTCTTCTGAGCTTCGGAGTCACGTTTCACGTGAAGACACGGTCTGAGAGGTTTGAATCTGTTCACAAAGTTGTTTCTTTGACAGTCGTCAAGGGGGCTGAGAAAACTCTTCAGTGGTGGAGAATGGGCTAAGCAAATTCTCATGGCCACGTCCACCGGCATGATGGAGCTTGGCAAGGGTCTCGGGTCCAAGATCTGAATCATTCTGAAAGGCGTAGAAAGACAGGACATTATTATTTGTTACATCAGGCAAGAAGCTTCTTAAGAATGCATATTTGCTTCATCAGCTGTCTTAATTATTCACGGCCTCATCTTTGCATGGCTTTAAATAATGCAGCCTAAATTAAAATTGACAGTTGAAGCTAAGGAACTAGGGTAAGACTATTCAGCCATTTTTTGATAATTCACAACTCTTTCAATTCAAGTGTAGTTTCACTTGCTTTTTCTGAACCTCTGAAAAAGAGATTCTAGTGACAGCTAATTAAACTCACTTCCTTGAAAAGACAGGAAAGAACATTCTAGTAACCAGTAAAACAGATCCAATCACAGAGGAAGTGCTCATCCACTTTAGCTTCTGTTTTAGAGACTCTGAGCCAGGTCTGACCATTCCAGTAAGCTGGATCAGCTGCTTCATCTCTAAGCCCAGACAGCACTATATTACACAAGTCCCTACCCCATCACAGTATCAACCAGGATTCTATGTACCTTTTTGCAGAACTGTCACCCTGTGGCTCTGAACCACCATAAATGCATTTGTTAGGCACTCTGGTTTTGGTTAATTCAGATTAATAAAATATTAATCTGAAAATATTTTCTGAGCTATTAGCCCAGGTAACAGAGCTCTTTTGCACTGCTAACTTTAACTGCTGAGGGAACAGGAGAAAAAAAAAAAAAGGAGGGGAGGGACACAGTTTATCTTTTCACCTCATCATGCTTCAAGAACTGGCTTAAAAACGTATCTTTATAATCCCCAAAGCCTGTGATGAAAGCCTACTGCAAGCATTCAATAAGAATCTTTGTAAAGATTTATTCATCACCTTCCCTCTCAGATGATAAAAATCACCATTTCTATGCAAGAACGTGGCCCATTCAAAGCCTGTTAGCTTGAATATTTGCAAAAAGGGGCTTCAACTGCATCGCATCCCCTCTGAGGAGGATGCAGTCCTTGCTGGAAATGCAGATTTCTGTTGAGTCACAGGAAGCCAGAGCATTTGCTTTGTCACTTAAATAAATGGCTCTCTCCTTCCCAGGGTTCTCACTGGTATTCCAGAGCCCTGCCAAAAAAAAAAAACAGAATCTGTGCTGACCTCTGAATTATTCTCCTTGTTTTTTTTTTTTTTTATTGTGGCAGTAATTGCCATAATAAGTAGGACGAGGAGAGCAACAGCATTAAATTACTAAAGTTTTGCTTTGCTTTAATAGGAAAATAACTAAGGCTTTAAAAATACTCTCTGCAACTTCTGTGACCAGCTCCTGGGAAATCTGCCCCTAAGTTTGTGCAGTATTAAAAAAAAAAAAAAGGAGGGAGG